CATGCAAACATTTTTCGAGCTGTCAAGCAATGCTTACCTGGACCTGTGAGAAACTCTCATCACTCTTGTGCATTTTTCTACTTTATTTTGGTGTGTCCCATGGAAGTTAGAATTGATAAGGTGTAATGGATGGGTGATAACGGTATTAGCAATATCCAAACGGTTTCCATATCCATTAACATGGATTATCTATGACTGTCACACAGTACACCTTCATCTTGACTGCAAGCAAGGAATTACCCAAGCAGTGTGTAGGGTATGGCACAGCAAGTGTGAAATACGCATCAAGGAAAAACGTGGGTGTCCGGATATCTGATGACGCTGTCTGCCAAGCTATCTTGCAGGAGATGGATTCCCCGCTGATTTGCACCAGGTCAACTTCTTCTTAACCCCATCATTACAGTGAGATGTCCATGTCCTAAAATTTTTTATATCTGTGTATAGTGCCAATTCTGATGTGTTAAATAATGACAGTGTGAAAGGGCCCAAAGAAAACGAATGGATGATTGATCCAACCGCAATTGGTGACATCTATGGACCAGAGGTATAGATAGTTCTCACTCTGTCTTTGACTAAAGAAAGCTCTTTGGTGGCTCTACTCTCTGTTTCGATTTCCTTTTGCAGGGTCTGGATTTTGTGGTAGATGGAGGTGTACGAGTAGCTGAACCATCCACCATCGTGGATATGACAGGTCCAGATCCCAAGGTCATACGGGAAGGGAAGGTAATAGATATCTAACATTTGGTGTTTTATTCATCGAAGGAGCTTAATGTCTGTGTGGGGTTTGTACAGGGACCTATATTGCCTTGGATGGTGGTTGAGGACGATGATTCTCGCCTACGCCAAGATCTTATCGCTTCTGGCACTTAAAACAGATAGAGACGCAGATTAGGTCTTTGTTTGACATCTAGACGCAGGACACCTTGTAGCTGAAGTATATGGATGATGTGAATATAAATATTACGAACGTGAATCCAAAATCCATACAAAAAAAATCGATACAGAAACAAATACACCTGTACGGGGAGTCTAAGACCGAGCCAAAGAATAAGATGATGAACACAATCATATGTATGAAATTCAACGGAGTCAGCTTTTTTCTTCGACGGATATCTTCATAATAAAATGATCTTAAATCAGCTGCGGGTGTTGCCGTAGAGATTTGTGTAAACTGACTTGGTACGTTGTACAAGAATCATACTCAAGGCGGCTGCGATGAGGCAGAACCCAGACATTATGAGTGACGTCAAGAAGTAACAGATAGAACCTTGGCATCTCAGGACATCGTCAGCACCAAACAATGATCCATGTGCTTGCCGCTCTGCTTCACGGTCATATATGGAGCTTGCAATCAGACCCGAAAAGACTAAGGACCCAGCCGGGTTGGCTAGCGTCAGGAAATTGTATAAAGCTCCAAACTTTTTGAGACCAAAGAGCTCAGAGGCAGTGGCTGGGACAATGGCCCAGTGAGCACCATAGCCAAGTCCAATCAATAGTGTGCCAATGTGCATAGCTCCAGGCCATCCATATGCAAAGAAGATGTGTCCTACTGACATTACAAGCTGAGCCACTGCGATAGCAATCGGTCTTGGGTATGCATAGTTCCTGCAAATCATTTGGAACCAAAATCAATTCCACAGCCAAATGTCACTTCACTGTCCTTCCTAAACGACGGACAAATTATACCTGACGATGAGTTCGGAGAAATAGCCGCCACCGATGCGTCCAAGGAAGTTCCAAATGCTAATCATCGAGACAAAAACGTGAGTGTTATCGTACCCCAGAGACTGACTCATCTGCCCAAGGTTGTCTATAACTGTTAGACCCGAACCAGATCCGAGCAAGAGTGAGAAGAATATGAGCCAGAAATCGGCTTTCACAAGTGCCTGCATTAAAGTAAAATCCTCGCCTCTGTGAGGTCCTCTCCGTCTCTTGACCCGAACTGCACCCTCTGCAGCTGCCTGCATCAGCTTTGCTTGCAACTGAGCAATTCTCTTATGCCTCTCCAATGCAGGAAGCAGATCTACCTCTTTCGGTTTCTCGTCTTCGACTTCACTCAAAATAAGCTCAGGATCACGGTCAGAGGCTGATCCTGGATCCTGGCCTTGCTGATCTCCGACGAGAGGTTCTTCTAGCGTGTCACAAGGGTCGGTTGATGCTGTGAAGCAACTTGTAGCGATGGGGATAAAGATGGGTACAAGAAGGATTGCAAACAAGACAATGGTGAAAGCAGTGATGATTGAATGGCTAAGGTCAATGAAATCTTCAATAAGCATCACTGCCATGAGGTAGGCAGCGAGTAGAATGCAGACGGCATAGATGATGGTGAAGCTGGTGCCATCGGAAGCACGGATCTGCCTGTGACCACCAACGGGTCTGATGAAGAACATGAGAGGAACAACAACAACAGCTGGGGCAACTGCAACCATGAAGATGAGGGATGCACGGTCAGAGGAGTGGATCGTAGTGTAAATCTGAGAGAGGATGGCACCGCCAAGGCCAGCAAAGCCCTTGAGGATACCAACCACAGGACCACGGCTCTTGGGGAAATTCTGAACACCGGAGACTAGTGTAGCCGTGTTGAAGTAGGTCTCCCCGTTGTTCCCAACGAATATGAGGATACACATCTGAAACATGACAAAGATTCAGTCATCAATCGATAAATTGTAAAAGGAAACACTTTGAGCTATAAAGTGAATCTCAACAAAAGTAAAATATCCCCCCCCCCCCCCCCAGAGACAAGAATCCTATACGACTTGCTTACTGTGCATTGCTACTCCTAGTCAACTCATCTGAATCGATCAATTCTAATTCATTTCTTTAGAAAACAATCAATTTCCAAGCTACAGAGGAACGATTGAGAACATTGAAAAAAGAAAACGAACAAAATAAAGGATAAATCTCTCTCACAGATTTGACAGCCATTCATAGTGACCAAACAACAACAACCTAAAAAAAAAGCAGACTTTAATAGGAAAGTCTCCAACTTTCCAACAATCCAAGATCGGTGGATGGATCCGAATCTCGAAAAAAGAGAAAGGAAAAGGAACTCACAGCCCATAAGGGGAGAATCGGAGCTCGACCGGTGACGATGAGCCAGACCCAACCATAGCCGACAAGGTTCTGGAGTGACCCAACAAGAAGAGCGGCCCAGAGAGGCAAGATCTCGGAGAGAGTACCAGCGAGGAAGCCGACACTGTCGCCGAGATCTTTTGCAACACCGAGCCTGGAGAGCTGTTTCTGGTTGTAGTTCAAGGAGCTCTTGATCACCGGCGATATGCTACCGAACAAGTAACCGATCCCAGCGCATGACTGAATCCACATGGCCGCCACAAACACTAACCATCTGTTGTTGATGAAAGACACCAACTTTTCTCGACTCGTCCTCCTCCGAGCCATTTTTCTGCTACTGGACCAAGAACAGAGGATTGCAATTGCAGATTCCGTGTCTCGATTACTACGATCAACCTTTTTTGGTTGGTCTCATTAGATTAATATTTTCCCATTTCTAATTATGTTTTAAACAAACAAAAAATTGCATTTCTAATTATGTTAAGTGTATACTATTTTGACGTCAAAAAAAAAGAAGTGTATACTATTTTGTTTATTCATGCGTGTAAACATTTCCACGCTCAAATCATATTTTATAGGCTTTTCATAATCTTCTTATATGTTTTCAAATTGATTATATTTGCAGCCGACCAACAAAATATATTTATATCACGCTATTTAATATGATTAAAAATAAAAATAGAAAGATTTCAACTTGCGCTATTATTGTTGAAACACATTTTTCTTACCAAAAAATTCACATGATACATGTACAACACTTGCCTCATGTCAAG